ATACAGCAGAAGTGAGTTTCAGATGTTTTCCTGGCCCTTACTCCATTCTTCCCTTCCTACACTTCAAGTTTAACAGAGGATGTGAAAGAAACCAACACAAAAGTGCACAACCTTTTGAACAAATTGCCAGAATAAAACAGAAAAACTCGTAACACAAAACCTAGTAGCCAAAACACGTGGCTTAAATAAAAACCACCTTGCCTTTTGTGAAGTGATGAGGACTGGGACTGAACGCCCGCAGACCCTCCTGGCTACAGGCAACCCTACTGCCTCTGGTAGGGACTGGCTTCTTGCTAACCAGACAGGGAAAATGCCCTGCAAGGAAAAGGCACAGAAACCATCCAAAGTATTTTCCTTTTCCTTCCTTTTGCTATTGCTCTGCATTACTCTACGACATCCCAAACCATCTAGAGATGTAAACATAAATGCTGGCAGGAAATACTTAATTCATGAAATTAATTAGAGGGCATTGAAAGCCTCTATAATTACTTACTGCAACAATGGTAGCAGGATGGTAAGCTGTTGCTGGTAGCTCAAAGGCTTTTGTTCGTATTATGCAAAAGCCAGAAGTTTTCCCCACAGGAGAATCAAAAGAGCAAGTCAAGAGTATTCTGTATCAAACTAATAAGCCATCTAGGGTGGTTATTTTTTCCTAAATAGGTTAGAGGTCTCTTAAAAGCACTAGAGCTTACCTTTGGTGTGAGCACCCAACTGCACAGAGACAGACCTATGCTGTGCACCTATCACATGCATCTTCTGCCTCTGCTCCCACCTTTACACCAGGCTCCACAGCTAAAAGCCCAGCTGTGGGAGGCCCGGAAACTCTCCTGCACTAGCTCACCAGGACAGGACTGCACTCAAGGACCCAGGTGACAGGGCTCTCAACAGGGTGGATACACAGCTCACACTTCAGAGGAACACAGCTAACAGCATTCCTCCTTTTTTGTCTTGGAGAAATGAAGCTTGCCAATCATTAATGCAGAACCTAAAAAAAAATATCGAGTAAACAGAAAGGGTATGAAAAAAATTTTGAACTTGAGTAACATTAACGAAGCTTATGCCACTTTTTTTTATGCTAAGAGATACACTTCTATTTAGTGAGCTTATTCATCACCATCATCTTGCTAAGAAGCAAGCAAAGACCGATGAAATGGTACAATGCCTCAGTTTGAAAGCCTGACATGGGAAGAACATCTCCACATTGCCCTCAAAAGTGCTTTCTTAAGCCCTAATGAACATTACGCAGCAGAGCAACAACATGTCTTAAACAGGACTTCACTCCTCCTGAGCAGGGGCATGATTTTCAGCATGGTGAGACAGGAAAAGGGACAACACGAGATATTTCTGCTGCAGATGGGTTAAAAAAGCATTTGCTTTCTCACAGCCAAAATGCAAGAGGAGGAAAGAGACACAAGGGAAATGGAGCAGATTAATTATGGTCTGGACACCTTCATGCCACAGCACCCTGAGCTACGCATTAGATGGTGTCTATTCTCACATCAGTCTTTTGTTCAGGCTCAACATGAACACTTCGAAACGTTTGCACACTGATTAATTTTTTTTTTCCACTCTGAACAAATAGTAATCAATGTTTCCTCTCTACTTTCCAGAGCTTGCTTCCCTTGGGGAGAAACCACCATACAAACAAAAATGGAGCCAGGGCCAGAGTTGCCTCCCTACACACTCAGCCCAGCCGCAGGTGAAAGACAAGTATGCATTCACGTTGGCAATCAGATCTGACCAAGGGATCCATTTTTGCTGGATGAATATCTCCAGGGTTTTTGGTCTCGGAGTGAGTGAAGAAAAAGCATTTAGGCTCAAATTACGAGAGCGTTGTTCCCATTAATAAGGCAGTAACATTTACCTCCCTTTCCATCAACTCTATAATTTATCACTAGGAAGGAGGAGGGGCAGGAAGACACAAAAAAGCAGGTATTGTCTTCTCACCATAGCACTGAGTCACATGCATGGCAAGATGTTTCAGAAACTCGACACGATGACAATACAGAGGCACATCACTCCACAAAATCCTTCGGCAAGACCAGTCCTGACCACTGCACGATAGCCAGTTAGCTGGTTTGATGGCAGCTTTATGTAAATGAAATGGGTTCTGTGACAAGAGCAGCTCATACACATCTGCCTACTAATCGTGTAGCCTTTAAATCTCAAACATACACGCTCAAAATTCACACTGATACTTAAAACATTGTCCTGTAGTATGTTATTAAAATGCAAGTGACTGCACAGCTGGTTCTATTCTTATAGCGGAATCTCCTTCTAAATTATGGCTTGCATGCAAGCCTGGGTATACATCTTTGCTTGGAACTAAAATTAATTCACTTTTCTACTCTTCAGCCAGCATCTAGCCTGCAGATCATCAGTACTTTTCAGAACCACAGCTTGCTTGTGCCTCACTGCTCACAAACTCCTTTCACCTTAAAAACGAAGAGGAAACTTCCAGCAAACAGGCCTATTACTTTTCGAGCTCACGCCTGTACCACAAATCCCATTACCTCCGCGTGACACTGGCAAGGATGCTTAGGGGAACGATGGACCTCTTACCCTTCTGCTTGAGCTCATCAGCTCCGCCAACGCACAAAGGGGAAGTGCCAGAAAGTCATCTCCAGGTAGAGGATGCTTTGATAACCCAAGAGGAACACGTAGTTGGAAACAGGCAAGAAGGAAAAGATATAAAAGGGTTGTTTTATCCCTCAGGTGCTACTATGCAAGTGAAACTCAAATGAGTAACGTCAGCTCTGCAGCACCTCAGCTGGTGCTTGACCGACTAAAGACAGTGTTGTTTTTTAAACTGAAACCCAGTGCAAGCAATAAAATAGAACAAGATGCTATCAGACTGATCAATCTACCGCCAGCTTCTCTCATTACCAGGGGAGAGCCAAGGCCAACTTATTTTATACTCTCCTCAAATTATCCTCTCACCTGGACATTACCACTACCCTAATAGCCACAGCCAGATTTAGTCAGTCCCCAAGTGTCTTTAAGCAGACAGCCAGGCAAACAAGAAGCTCTATTTCTCCATTTTCAGAGCAAACTGCTTCTAGGGTGTTATTAGACTGCGGAAAAAATAGGTCTCAGGAGAAATAACGATAAAGTCCATTGCAGTACCCTAAATCTGTTGTCTCATGTTCAGACTATCTAAGCCACAGCATGTGGAGATCCAAGTGCAGCACCAACATCTATAAGTTATATAAAAAGCAATTTCACTCTGCTACAGGTCAGAGGAAAGGCAGTTAAGGGCGTGAGGCAATGTCAAAAAGCTATCTGTTCTCCATCCTTCAGCCAGCACAGATGTTCACCATGCTGAATGGCAAGATCCTAAGAGCATGGATGACAACGCACAGTTGAGCATGGTCCCTCAAACACCGACTGAGGGTTTTCAACGCCAAACACGCTGCAATTCAGGCCCTCGGTGCTGAGGGGCAGAGGAACAGAGTTGAGCTCAGCAAAGGGATTGCCTTTGGATCTTTTATCCAATGCGATAGAAACCGACCGCAGAGTGCTCAGGAAGAGAGGAACGATTAGCAAAAATTGCGTGGGATTCAGCATTTCTTCTCCACAAACAAATCTTTTTTTACGTAAAGCCTAAGGGATGAGCGTGATAGCTTGACAAGACAAAACGATGAAAGTGAGAGGATGTAAAATAGACTGTCATGAACAACAGGGATAATCATCTGATATTCTGCAAAGAATATATGTACTTTTGTTTGTTGTTGTGGTTTTGTTGTTTTTTGTTTTTTGTTTTTTTTTTTTTAACCATGAAAAGCAGACACTGGGTTTGTGGCAGGGGGAGAAGAAAACAAGTTCACAACACGCTTCGTCGTTTCATGTGTCAAAACCTACTGCCAAAATACTACCTTCCAATTGTCTGTTTTCAAGCAAAATCTCGCTCTGCTGCCTGGGTAACCAGAGCACTTGTACAGGGCTGATGACAGGGACCTCAGGTATCTGAGCACCTTCTTTCTTTACCTTCCCCTACTAAACACAAAACAAGACAGGGAACTGCACGTGTTCAGCCCACGCTGTGTTTATATAAAGCCTTAAATACATTTTTTTCGGTGTCAAGGCTTTCTGGAAATGCTGTTCACCGTGTCAGGCGCATCACTCAGCAGTGAAGCGATCAGATTCTGACTTCCCTTTGGAAAAAACAGAACCTTGACTTCCAGATGATGCAAGTGAAATGAAAACATAGCTAAAAGCTGGAGTACTGTTATGTGTCCATGGTGATATGATGGAAAATTAACTAACCTGCAATTATCTGCATGAAGTCAGCGTGAGCTGCTCATCCTAGGGCCAGAGCTGCCTTTACTGTGCTCCTCCATACCAGGGGGATTTACAGTGTGGTTAACTGGGTCTCGGATTTGCATAATAACAGGTAGGAAGCTGCACGGCTCCACTTACACAGGCAGACAAAACTAGATCAGAGTTTGCTCAACATTTTACCAACACGTATCGCGACAGCGCAAACATCCGCAACAGTCGGGTACCGCTCTAGGAAGGACCTAGGCTTCAAAAGGGGAACAGAGGAAGGGTGTTTGATAGAGGGGGGGAAATACATGCTTGGGATGCAGATAAAAACACAGGAGTGTCTCCTTCCTTCAGGAATCCAGAGATGAGTCTGGAAGGGAAAGGTCGAACGAGTTCTCCCTGAAATAGCGTTAACTTGTGGGGCTCTCATACAGTCATAAAGAAGCATCAAGGCAATGCAATTATAACCTATAATTTCCTGGCCTACCAGTACATAAGAGATAGCACTCTGTCTGTATACATTAAAATAAGACCCCTCTAAAAAAATTAATAATCAAATTTTTTCTCATTGTCATTACATAAAAAGCACTGCAATGCTACTTAACAATGAAAAGCTCAGAAGAGAATACTTCAAACACTTCATTTAACTTACACCCACATGCAGATAATAAATAAAGGACTCCAGGCTAAAAAAACCATTGAATAATACACACTTAATAGTCTCATGTGCTCACCTTCCCATCATAGCGTTTCACTATAAACTGATCCAGGCCCAGGTCTGAAAGAAAGAAAAAAAAAAAGATACTGTAAAAAAAATGCTCTTAGAGTGTAAAAGTAAGCATTTCTTGGGTCTTCTCTTCAAGTGGGGATTAGAAAATTGAATGTACTGTCTGAATGACATCAGGGGAAAGCATAAGGACAAAGAAGGAATTTTTTTTTTGGCTTCATACATTTTATACTTTGTATTTTGATCATGAAAGACAACAAACTCACAGCATCAGAGAAGAAAACCTCCTTCTTGCAGAGGCAATAGGAGCACAGCTTTCAGTGTCTCTTGAGAACCTAAAATCCTCACCCCGAAGTGGAAGATTTCTGCACTATTACTAGGCAAACATTTCACCCATGACGCTCCATGTAAATGCATGCTCTTAAAGCTCTTACTGTTTTTAATAACACCTTCTGAATGGCTCACAAAAGGGAAAACAAAAGAACTGTTCCCATAATTGATTGGGATATCCTCAAATAAATCCCAAACTTGTTCATATTTTAGCATAAAATTGCTCATAAGTACATTTTAAAAGGAGATAAGTTGTAGCTGCATTCATAGAAGGCGGTGAGCACTTTAGCAAAAACCGCATTTTGGAGAAAGGCAAGGAGAGGAATTAGTTACACTAGTAAATTCAATCTTTCATACCATCACAAAATGGTTTTTCTATCTTGGAGAGAAAAAAAAAAATCCCTGCATTTGCAGAGTTAAGACACACAGCTCTCCATCTAATCCACAACGCCTGGCAGGCTATACGTACACTGATAAATGCACGTATAAGCAAGATGACAAAAATATTCAGGAAGATTAATTATTTGAGCTTTGCAATCCAAAGCCAGAAAGATGCACTCTGAGAGGAGACTAAGCAGAACTCAAACTGAGCACTTCCAGTGATTTAGGAGACCACGGGACGATTTTTGGTTCTCTGAAGAATAAAACCCCTCCGAAGAGCCACATCCCATGTGTTTTCTGCCATTGTTCATGATAATTATCACATCCTCATTTCAAATTAAATTACAGAAAGATGGAAAGAATAAAATAAAACCTCTCTCACGCCTGCTGCATCACCTGCTCACGAAGGAGGATAATAAAAGCCTTCCCATCTACTGGAAAGGTCCAGTGGTTACAGAAAATGGAGTTTTAAATTGCGCCAGGGTAACCTCCTTGACCTTTCTGAACCAAAGCAGCTAGAACTCCTCCATCACCAATTTCCAAGGTCAAGGCAATTGGCAGAAGGCTTTCTGAATTTGTGAACAGCCAGGTCAGAAAGCACCTTCTCAATATTTGTGAGCCCGACAGAGTGAAAACCGCATGTTCATATGCATTTTCAGACTTTCATCTTCTCCTGAAGAATTCTTTCCTCAAAAGTTGTGGATATCAACGCAGTACATTTGGAGGCAGGATTCATTAATACACATGCTCATTTGACCAGAGCATAATAAAGCATAATTATGACCAGTGCCATAATAAAGTCATTTCTCAAGCACACCTCCTATTCCCATGCCAGGAAATAGTGTTGTAAGACATATCCCTGACAGCCCGACGTTACACATACACTCACAGAAAGCTAAAAAAGGACACAGGTTAAAAATAGGAAGTGAAAGTATGTCTTAATAGCACACACACCACCCC